ACTGGTAACAAACTGCTGGGCTACACTGGACAGGGACAGATATAAACCTCATTTGCCTACCTGTCAGCAAAGGGAAATTCTCCATTTGCATCTTACAGACTTTTCACAGTGGATATCCTGATTTTTAGTGATGTTTTATCCTGATTTTTAGTGATGTTTGGCAATCTTATGGCAGTGGAACACCTGTTTTTTCTACATGTCTGTTTTTAGGTAAACTGTGAAAAGATGGTCTGTGAAGCTGTATTGAAATGGGAGAACTGGAGAAAAAAAGTGAGATATCAAAACCCCAGCTCCTTAAGTTTTCCTGGTTTTGTCAAGTTGCTATTTGGGACATGTTTTGGGATGTTTGATTTTAAAGCTCCTGTAGGACATATGTGTCTCAAAATATGGTTACTGTGTGACCTATAATGTATTGATATGGTTCAGTAACTAAGGATATAAAAATTGATAGTTAAAGTCTCTGAGGCTTTTGAAAATTGTTTCCTTTATTATGCATAATTTTATTTTCTTATGAGGACTGATGTGTCAGTCACCATGAAACTTAAGTGCCTATTAAATCACCTGCAAATGCAGTTAAGTGGTTTTTTTTCAGTAGCTTAAGCCAGGAAATATTAAAAGGATTTGTCTGCTATGGAGGCCCAGGTGGTAGGGAAAGGACCTCAGCAGATGCTTCATATTTACAGTTCCCTTCAGGACTCTTAATGTTTGGTTTTGCCTGAGTTTGTAGGTGGGAAAATAATTTGTGATCTTTACAGTGTCTGCTGTTGTTCCTACTTCATTATTCAGCACATGTAGATGGTAATAGTAATCTAGAAAGTATTTTATTAAGCTTGTGGATGAGCAGTGTTAAAATTGAAGGTTAATTTAGGTAGGTGTTGAATTCCCTAATACAATTGTGAGGGGGAGAGTGAGGATTGGGCTTTCTGTGTCTTTGCCTTAATACAATTGTTGTTCAAAATTATTTCAGAACCAAGTAGGTCATGAATATTAAGGGATAAAGCTTTGTTTAGTTCATTAAACTTATGAAGTTTTGGCAGGATTTACCAGTACCATCTTTTTCTTAGTAAAATTCCTTTGGAGGCTTCAAACTGAAGTTATTCTCTCTCCTGTGCAATGGTAGCTTTCCTTTTGGGAGTGAAGGGATGGATGCAGTTTGGATTCTTAAGTATTGATGCTTTCAGTGGCCAAAATACCTCAGGTTCCTCCTTCACATTCTTCTCCAAAGACAATTACAATCCTGAAATACTACAGTGTTTCTCCTTGTTTCCTTCAATTTTTAAGGCTTTAAATGATAGGGGCAATTAAACATTGTCTTTTAGGAATTAATTATCCAAAGAAAACTCAGATACAAAAGGCTCATTTAGTGCTGCAGGACTATGTTGCAAATATCCCTAAAGTTTAAAGCATAGAGTTTGGGAAGATGAAAGTCACCTGTGTGTTCCTTGCTTGCTTCAGCCTATCATCCACTGAGTTTCTAAATAATTTAGATTTTCATCATTCTGCAAATGAAACTTCCTTCAGAAATCCTGCCAAAACCAAACTGTAGTGCATGAGCACTAGATGATTTCTTTGAGTGTACTTGATATCCACTGTTTTAAATTATCTTCAGTGATGTTGCAAATAGCCTTTTGTGTGCAAAGGAATATATAAGCCCAAGGCAGAGAAGCTCTTTGGGATGGATGAGAAGAATTTTGAACAGTTGGAGCAGAAGCCATGGGTAACGCCCTGATGAGAGAAATTAGAACATGCATGCCTGCGTAATTTCTCCTGTGAAACGAAGAATAAAGAAGAGCCAGAGGAGAATGGAAGTATAGCACAATTCCAGAATGTCTAAACCAGGAATTTTTTAACATACAACCAATTATTCTGGTTAGTATAATACAGTGTGTTGAGACACAAAGCAACACTTAACTGCTAACCTCTGCTTAAGCAAAATGGGTCAGAGTGATCTTCATCTCCCTGACTGCTCTGCTTTAGCAGGACTGGACTCTGCTTTACCAGGACTGGGCTCTGCTTTAGCAGGACTGGACTCTGCTGTAGCAGAGCTGGACACTGCTTTACCAAGACTGGGCTCTGCTTTAGCAGGGCTCAGCTCTGTTTAGCAGTGCTGGGCTCTGCTTTAGCAGGACTGGGCTCTACTTTACCAGGACTGGACTCTGCTTTATCAGGGCTGGGCTCTTTTTAGCAGGACTGGGCTCTGCTTTAGCAGGACTGGGCTCTGTTTAGCAAGGCTGGGCTCTGTTTAGCAGTGCTGGGCTCTGCTTTAGCAGGACTGGGCTCTGTTTAGCAGGGCTGGGCTCTGCTGCAGCAGAGCTGGACACTGCTTTAGCAGGACTGGACACTGCTTTAGCAGGACTGGGCTGTGTTTAGCAGGACTGGGCTCTGTTTAGCAAGGCTGGGCTCTGTTTAGCAGGACTGGGCTCTGCTGCTCAGCTGCTTGGGACTGTGGGGGCTGAGGGAATGGTCTCATTCAGCCACTGCTGTGGCTGTGGAGCCGTGGGCACTGTGTCAGTCAGGCTGGCTTCCTCCAAGCTGCCAAAATCTCTGAGGACAGTGTGCTGCTCATTTATTCTGCATCTGGATCTGAGTGCTGAGAAGTGACACTTGTAGTATCTCCAGTTGTGTTTCATAGATGTCCCTCCCATTGTCACTGTTGGTTCCAGTTCTGGACTTGCAGCAGGAGAGTTGTGCTGGTTTAGGTGTCAGGTAGCAGTGTGAGTGTAAGTGCTAGGCCACATTATCTATGTGCTCTGCATATCAAACAGAAATTACATTCTGTTCATACATGATTATTTTTTAACTCATTGCCAGACTTGCAGCAAGATTCATACTCCAGAACAATGTCTTATGTAAAGGAGTTTGAGATTCCTGAATTTTACATTTAGAGCCCACAAGTTGTGCAACAAAATAAAGTAAGTTGTGATCAAACTAAGGAAGTAAGGTGATGCACTATGTTCCATAGTACTTGCTCCTCACAAAAGCTGCAGCTTTTCACCTAAGAGACTTGAGTCTCACAGTCGTGTGTTCCTGGTGGGGCTCTTTAGTGATACTGCTGTGGGAAGTCATTCTTGTGATTTTGCAGCCATAGTTTATTTTTTAATGAAACATCACTATCCCTCTCAGTGGGACATGAAATTAAATTGAGTGGCTTCTTTATAATTCTGTTCTTGCTGTGAAATTCTGATGGAATCAGCTTACCAGACTTGAAAACAGGTGTGATGCAGGTAGAACTTTGTTTTAAAACATGTTTAGAGAAAGTGAAAGAGAGGTTTTAATTTTAAAATGTGTTAAGATTTTCTGAAATACAGGACAAAGATCCACTTGTTTACTCCTATTTGTGTAACGAAAATGGCAAACTAAAATGGCAAACTTCTCTTGTGCATGGCAGAGAATTCTCTCCATGCATCCTAAGTATGTGTTGGGTGTGCTTCAGTATGATTATAAAGCCAAATGAAATAGCTTTCAGTAGTGAAATCAGGTTTATTACAGTGTAATTTCTTTCTATAAACAAGTCTCCCTTTAAGGACTTTTATCTGAAATTACTGATGAATGTAATGGTGTTAAATAATAAAATACTGTTATGATGCCAAAAAGAACATCTCAGTCTCTTTGATCTTCATTTTGGCTAAATATAGAAAATTTCACTAGAGACTTTTGTAAACAGACTCCATTAATCCTAACAAATTGTTTTGAAAAACAGCAACTGTAATAGATGTTGATTAAGACAGTGAATAACCTTGAGTTTTAATTTTCAATACAGCATGAGTTAACTCCACATTAATTGGAGTCACGCCTCTAAGTCATGTTGTACTGCTCTGAAATCCACGTGTGCCTACTTCTGTTTGTCTTGGCTTTAATTAATCATTCCCTTATTTCTTGGCAGCAGCCTGTTATTGGGCAGGGAAATATGGATCCAGGTGTAGTCTTGAGCCCCTGTAGCTTCTGCACACCATGGCTCTGTGCAGCACAGGAGGTCCTGGCAGCAGGAGCCTTGCAGCAGATGAAACACAGATATGTCTGTGCTATTTCCAACTGGAGTGCCGATGAGAACTCTCTAGTAGTCTTTAAGCCTTTCTTCTGTCATTGAAAAAGTTCAGATTTCATTTTTTTCTACAGGTGCAGTGTTTACTAACATTCTGTGCATGTGTAATGTAGGTTTGTGTGTTTGCACGTAGCTTAATTTTTTGTTTTGCCACAAAGCTTTTCATGACTACCTAAGAATAAGAAGGATCCCGTTCAAAGAAATGCAGACATCTGTTATTTATATTTAGAAAAAGAAATACATCTGGTTCTGACAACGCATCATTATTTTATGTGCTTCTAAAGAATGCAGCAATTGATATGATTATCTGGATTCAGAGTGTCAGTGGAGTTAATAAAGAGCAGTGCCCTGAGAACTGCAGTGTGTGTATGGCTTGGCTCTCTGTGCACTTTGGGGACGTCTTTTCTGATTGCTTTGTTCCTTCAAAGTTCCCTGATGGGACAGGGCAACAATTAACTCCCATAAAGCATGAGCCCAGGAGCAGCTGGGCCCACTAATGATGGGCAGTATGGATTTGTGCTGTGCCGTGCATGAATTTCTCCCCAGGGATACTCCCTTGTTATCATCCCAGCCTGTCTCATGCCATTCAGTGCCCTCAGGCAGCGTGGTGTTGCTCCTCGTGGCTCACCGTGCATGTGGGCATTGAGTCCTTGCTGAAAACACTGCCCCAGAGCAGTTTCAGGTGCCTTGTGGATGTCACCAGTCTGCTCCAGCTGGTCCAGAGGAGCAGAGGCAGAAATGGGGTTGTGTTTCTTGATCAATTCCCCACTGTGCAGCCCCTAAAGACAGACCTGACTCCCAGGTCTTCCTGAAGCTGGTGTACCAATTACAGTTGAAACGTAATTTCTATTTTCAGGAGTTTAATTATTGGGACTTTGCCCTTTTTCCTTGTTACTTCTGGTCTTGAAAACCAGATTAATGGTCAAGCATGTGGAAACAAATTAGCAATTCAGTACACGTGGCCTGCAGTGGGGACAGAATGAACTTGGTCATTGAAGTGCTCAACTTGTCCTTTATCACCTACTTCTCACCTGGATCCAGTACTTGCACTGGGAAGATAACTGTGAGAAAGTTTAAATGCCAACACATGGAATAGCAGTGAAGAGTAGAACTGGCTGAGAAGCTGAAGGCAGAGTAGTCAGTCTGGTGTAAGGTGCAAGTGTGGTTTGGAATGTGCACATTAACTGCAGGATGTAAGCTTCCAAGGAAAGCAAGAAAGCAGCTGTAGGAGGAGGTAAGAGATGTCCTCTGTCAGAGGAGTTTTTCTCTTAGCCTTATCTGTATAGAGAGTTATGGCAATGGCCACCCCAAGCTGCCAGGCTATTGTGACTGTTCCCCTAACTTGGGGGGGAGGAAGAGAAGCTTGTGTTGTTCATAATACTGCAATATTGGAAGAACTAAACACAGGTAGTGCGAGTTCTTTGCCTGCTCTGACTTTGTTAAACACAACTGTTGGATATTTTAATCAGTTTTTTTGACACCTGTATACAGCTTCCAGTTATTAACATTTGATTTATTTAAGTGTGTGTGCAGTAGGGAAGTATTAGATTCCCCATCTCAGCTAAGGCCTTGGTCTTAATAAATTGCTCTCTTCTGGTGGTCCCTCAGAGCTTTAATGAAAGATGCAGTTGTACTTGGTAACTAGAAACAATACATTCTTAAAAGATAACTAGCTATTACTGTAATGGTCATTGCAGAAAACAAATGAAATTAATTTAGTTACTCTGTGGCTGGAATTACATTATTAGTCAAGTTGATGATGTGTTTCTGGTACTACAGAAGCACAGAAATTTGTAGCACTGTATGAAGACATTTTTATTTCAGCTCTCATTACATGCAAGCTAAACATAACTCACTGACAATGAAAAACACATGTAATATGGTAAATTATATATGGGTTAACTGTCAGTCAGTCACTTATTCTCTGAGCAATTGCTGCTGCATGTGTACTACATATTTTCTGGGGTTATGGGGGGAGAGTACATTTTTAGTTTATGTGACTTCTATAAGCAGTAAAAGAAGCAGTTTTTCTAGCTCTAGTACTGGCACAATTACTGTCAACTTTTGCAAGCGTGGTACTGAATACAGACTGCTGCCTGAAGCTCCCTGCCTGGTGCCAAGGGGCTGACTAGGAAGTGTTTTTGTGAAGTGTGTACTCAGAGCTACAGCTGCGCTCATGGTTGAAGACTGAACCATTTCTGTGTTATGCTGGCATTAAAATAGAGTGTGACTTTCAATGTGAATTGAAGGCACTTGGATTTAGATTTGCTTCCATGCTTTTAGCAAATCAAGTGCAATATTGACCTGTTGGCATAAGAAGCTAATTGGAACTAAATGCTACAAAGTGTTGTGAAGGTGGATTTTTTTTAATTGCATGCTGCTCTAAAATTGCCCCTTAATGAAATTGAGAACTAGGAGCTTAAAATATTTTTTGTTAGAATAGTTGATATTTCATTTGCATGTGGGTTTTTTCTGATTATTTGTTCTTTCTCTTTTTATTTCTTTTTTAGTCTTCATGAAGAAATCATTGACTTTTATAAGTATATGTCTCCCAGACCTGAAGAAGAGACAATGCGGATGGAAGTGGTGTCCAGAATAGAAAATGTTATCAAAGAGCTCTGGCCTAATGCAGATGTGAGTAGGACACTGTTTTATTTGTTAATATGTAAAAGCAACATTTTGTGCCTCTTTACTTTATGGAATATTGAATATTGCAAATACTGTTTATTTTTCCATGCTAAACATAAAAAGACTTCTGGTGAAATGAGAGGGGTCATCTTTCTTACTCAAATAATGCAGGGTAACATTTTGTATCACACATAGGATCAAAGACAAGTTAGTCCTGCTGTAGTCAAAGAAAAGGCAAAAGGCGTGGCAATGTTCAGTCTCGTGAATATTTATTTGATAAGGTGAATGGAAACATATCAGACATGCGTGTATTGTGTTTAAAGAAATCTTCTGAAACTCCTGTCTTTAGTAGTAGGGCTTTTAGTTCAAAGACTTGTGATCTTGAATAAATCTGTTCAGGTGGTGTACCAGCAATATCACATTATGTAGACCATGGTATTTTTAATGGGCAGTTATACTAAATTGATATATTTTAGAAATTAAAAAAAACTCAGAAGTCTGTGTTTAGGAAGAAACAAATCTGTAGATCTGTGTGCTGAGCTGTGTAATGCCTCTTTCCACTGAAGTTTTTGCTAGTATGTACTCATTCAAAACAAGAGTTTCTCCTATGTAGGGCTGTGGGGTTTTTTGATAAAGGTTAGATTAAAAAGAAGACAGAGAAGTTGCATTTATAAGTCAGTATGGTTTTATGGGGACACAGTTGGGTTTCTGGCATAATTGAATCTAGTTTAATTATATTCTTCTACTAATATTGTGTTCATTTCCAGAATGTAAATTTCAAGCTGTAGTCATCTATTTGTAGAGAACAGTAGCTGAAAATAAGGGCTTGTTAGCCAGAATAGCAAACCAGATTCAGACAGCAGAACCTCTAGTATAAGGAATGCTCTTTGATCCTGCCACAGTAAAAGACAGTGTTTTGACATGAGTGACTTAAATCCACTGTTCATTTCAAATCTTCTTAACCTGTTTTTTGGAATGCCTTTTTAGAAATTGGCAGAATATGACAGAATGTGAATTCTGTATAAGTTCTATGTATGTGATTTGTGGTTTTGTGTGTAAAATATACTCACATTTTCCAAGAGGTTATTGTTATGGACAATGTATCAGAGAGCATCATATGGAAGGAGCACTCCACTCATGATTGCTGCCTTTGCACAGCTGGAGGGAGGTGTTTGAGTCATTACTCCACAGGTCTGGCAATTTTCTCTTTGAGCAAACGCAGTAACCTTTCCATGGGAGCTGTGTAAGAGAGCAGCATGTGCCACAGGTGTGGCACAGCTCTCCTCTAACCCAGTGGGACAGCCAGGTGCACCCTAATCAGGAGCAGGAGTAGTGGTCTGGCAGGCAGTAGTGCAGGAAACAGTGTGGGTGCAGCACCCTGTGAGTGCCTTGGAGGAGAGCATTTCACCAAAACCACTGAGGCTTCAGCCTAGAGATGTTGCAATTTCCTAGGCAAGTTTGTGTGCTGCAAACTTAACTAGGCTAATGGGGTGAATGGATTTATTACCAGGGGATCTCTCTTTGTCACCATGAGCACTTTGAATGGGGCACAAGAACATACTGCTTCCAGAGATACTCTGTGGGACAGGCTTGATCTGTAAAAGTCCTTTGTATTAAAAGTAACTTTTTATGTACATATATAACATACATATTTGTGTGTGTGTGTAACTTTACATCCTTGAGAAAATAGTCTTCCTTTAAGCTGCTGAAAGTTTTCTGTAGCCACCAGGTATTTAAGGAGGGGAAGCAAATTACGAGTCCTACCACAAGCGACAGCTGACCACTGGGCTTAGCTGTAACGTGACTGAGGGGAAGCACACACTGTGTAGTTGAAAAACCAAAGTTCACTTTTCAATTAGTGCCAGTTAAATCTGCCAGGCCTGTCTTTCTCCACTGTGCTTGAAAATGTTAGAGAGCGAGAGCATGCCAGTTCTTTTTCTCAAGTCAGTAACTGTTCTTCCAAGCCCAAGTGCATTTTGTCTGCAGTTGTTACGTTGAGGAAGAATTCTCCTTTTGTATGTCCTTCCGTTTTCTGGAGGCTGAAAGGGAACTGAATGGTGACAGCAGCATTACTGTGGTGTTATTTTTCCAAAACTTATTTTGCCACATCAGCTTGGGAACTGAACCGCTGAACTCAACTGTGTTCAACTTGGACAGTCTCTTGTAATTTTTCAGTCCTTTGAGTTAATCACTAACCTTTTGGCAATCTGTGTTGGTTTAGCTACTTCTAAGATTCAAGTTTTGGGTACATGCTCTGGGAAGGTGGAGTGTTACCTGGTCCAATGTCCTCAGCTCTAACTGTAGTGTAAAGTGATGAGTTAATATTTAAGCTGTTGTTTTGAGTCGTTGATACAGCCAGACTAGCTTAAATAAACTTGGAAGCTAAACATACACATTTAGCTTGTAATTTCTCACTAAACACATAGGTAAGACATAAAAAAAAAATATAAATACATAAAAATCCAATACTAAGAAAAGAAAAATATGGCTTCATGAATTTAAATGTACAGAGAATGTACATGTGGAATGTGCCTGAGCACATCCTTTTTTTCCCCCTCCCCTGTTCCACTTAGGAAAAGGCTGAAAAAGCAGATGGAAGGGGGGTAAAACTAGGTATCTTAAACTGTTACTTTATTTATAGAAGTTAGCAATTGTGTCATTTGCTCTCTTACTCAAGGGAATGTGCTTAGAAGGAAACATTCCTAGTAAGTGAGAACTGTTCTTGGCATCAGCAGGGCTCTGACCATAAGAAACACTTTAATTACGCTGAAACCAAACAACCCAAAACATTTAAATGAAAACTTTTTAAGACAAATATTTTTGACAAGTTCAGTAAGAAAATTTGGCTACTAAACAAATAAGTACTTACGCAGTTGAATTTAGGATACATTTGTAATGATATCCTCAGCTTCATGTCCATGTGACCACATAGATCTGAAAAGAGGGAGTGTTACATATTTCACACACTTAAATTATGCAAATACTATGATTGGGAATGAAGGTAGAAAGATGAACTCTAGTTCAACAAACTTCAGAAAATTCTACTGAAAGTTGTAGAAGAAAAGTAAATTAAATTGGCTGTGGATTTTTGTTTGTTGTTCTTTTGACAGAGGGATTTTGGTACCAGAAATTTACCATGCTTTTGTGGGTTTCCATTCTTTTGTGCTTAGTGAGCATATATTTGGACACATACTGTAATTAAATCCTTCAGGGACTGTGGAATTTATTATGAACAAGTTCACAGAAGTGTGGGATAAACAGTAACAATAGCCTAGAGGAGTAGGAGTTATTAGAGTACTGTGGAGACTGAAGTTATCTTATGAGTGCAAATACAGATCTCTGTCCACAAGCAATAAGAACATGATCAGCAGCATTGGCACACCACAAAAACATCTCAAGTCATAATAGTGTTCTGGTTTGGGATGCTTTCAATACATGCATGGCTACAGAGCTTCAGCAATTTAAATTTCAAATTGATAATAAATCAAAATATTTTAAAATTTGTGTTCTGATTTCTCCACTGGTCCTCTTTTGTTTTTCCAGTTTTTGTGAGAGAGTGGTTGAAGTGTGGGTGTGGATTTCTTTTTTAATAGTTCAGTGTTTCTCATACTTCAGATTATTGTAGAAGAGCAGATGTTGTCTCATTCCTTTTGGTAAAGGTCATATATGTTGTATCAGTTAGTTTATGAATACTTTCAGGGTTGTTTATTCAGTAAAGGCTCTCTTTGCTGTTCAGCTGAATACACTATTTTGTTTGATATTGTGAAAGTACATTTAGTTTTTTCCGAAGCCATCAGTGGCTGTTTTATTGTGCAAAAGCACTTTTCTTGTGTTTTTGGTGCCTGAATGAATCCTGGTTTGACTGAACCCAGTTTCATAGAGGATACTTTTATTACTACCCTGGATAAACATAGTGATTATTATTATTATTATTACATTCTTGGCTTTGTGATGCCTTTCTGCTTTTGTACAATATTGATGTTTGTGCTGTGGCACCTCTCACAGTCTTTGCCAGTTTGAGAAGCTATGAACTGTCAATATTAAGTTGTGGATGTACTTTTTATTGGGCTTGAGGTGAGGGGCTGAGAGGAGTGAAGTGATAAAAAATAATCAGGAAGAAGCACTCAAACTGCTTCTTAGTCTACTAAACTATTAAGGCACTTGCAAAACATCATCTTTTCTTCTCTTTTTCTTATCCTGAAGGAGAAAAACATAAAAAGTGGGTCATTGACATACAAGTAGGTGGCAATCAAGCTGGTGTATGAGACTCATTAAAGCAGAATACTCAAGTCTGTATAAGGTGGCTCCAGGAAACATCAGAAGAATGGCTGAAAATTAGCCCAAATGTGTAGATATTTTTTACTTTGAAGTCTCCCCAACCTCCCTTTGAGACTCAGCACATGAGTCTGACCTCCCTGCAAGGCTTGGCTAGGTAACGAGAGCGTGGTTTTGGACAGCTACAGGGGAAACCTGATGGTTGACACCTCCAGTGCTAGTAAAAATCCAGCATAATAAAGTAATTCTGTGGGATGTGAAGTTCTCTGAAACTTCCATTTGTTGTTTAAGCAGAAATAGACAGAGTTGTGGTACTTGCTTTGTAATGCAGAAAAATAATGGGGCATGATGGAATTGATTTTCTTTTAAGTATGCAAAGCAATGGAAATATGTTCAATTTCGAAATGCCTAAATTCTGAGAGGTATCCTTTGGGATGTGTAAAGAAAAATCAAATTTAACTGATACTGTTTTTCTTAAATGTTCTGTCATCATTAAGCATTTCAAAATCTTGGGTTCTGGATTTTGACAAATTTGGTAATGGGAACAATTTTTACATTGCAAAGCAGTTGTTTATTAGAAAAGCCAAAGTTATTAATGTTTTATGAGTAAAAACAGTGAGGATCAGCTGTTTGCAGTACATTGAAGGTATGTATTCTTTAACAGATGTGTTCAGTTCCTGTTAGCAATACCAAAATCTACCAATGGAGGGTAGCAATAGCCAGCCTTTACAAGCAGCCTAGTAATAAACTTTGTCTTCTGAAGCCTGAAAAATTTCTTAATTCATCCTATATGTTTTCTCATATATCCTTTTCTTGTGTTTCAGGTGCAGATATTTGGAAGTTTTAAAACTGGTTTATATTTACCTACAAGGTTAGTAATTTTTCAGTGTAAATTCCACACAAAAGAAAAGTAACTTGTTGGACCTGTAACCCTGGGGTCATTTATCTGCTCTGCCTGGATCTGTGTTACTTGTGTCAATACTTGTTATGCTCAGCAAGTGTTTAGCTATTAGTTCTCTGCAAAGTGTACAGAAATGCAATAAATAAGACTATTGACTGTAACATGTGTCTCTATAGATCTTGCATGTATCAGTAGAAGGTTCTGAAATACCATGTGGTCAGAAAAGGCTTGTGTTGGAATTTGGCTTCATTAATGCAAAAAGAAGATGTTGGCCCTAAAAGAAAAGCTAAATTTTATTTCCACAGATGACTAAATCGAAACTTTTAACATAATGTTGTTAATATTAGCGCTGAAGAAAAAATATTACAACAAAACTGGGTTTTTTCTTTCAGTCTTCTTTTGTGAAATCTGTACAATAGTCAACATCTACCTTTTCCAAATTTATTGCTAGTTTTCATAAAGAGTCTTTAATCAATGACACTGGTATCTTCTGTGTAGAAATTGTGAGTATTTATGACAACTAAATAGAAATGGAGTGAAATGCTTAAATGGTTGTAGGGGTAGACACATTTAAATAGCATAAATCTGAGGATAGCTTTTGAACTGAGTTCCATACTTTGGGAACAGGAGGACATCTAGTACTGACTGCAGGTGAGGGATATCCTCATCATTGTTCCATCTCCATTTGTAAAAGAAAGAACCTGACAGATGCTTTAGTTCCTGCTTTAGTTTCAGGAGTTGTAAGGAAGTCTGATTTCTCTGGTTTTGTTTGTAAAGCCAGAAGTGAGGTGTACAAATACTCATTGTTTTCACATTTGGCCTCATTCCTGGCCTTATTAAAATTTATTTTAAATAGGCTTAATTAAATATGATTTGATGCTGTTAATGCTAGAGAGATATTCCTGGTGACTTGATGGATATTTTACTATATTTGCTTGATTGTTTTGAAACAGATATAACAAAAATGTTTTTCTGTTGTCATATACTGCCTTTCTTGAGTATTTGTTTCAGGTGAGGTTTTGTGGGAGAACAAATGCAGATACTTCAAATGCAGTACATAAACCCACAAAAAACCTTCCTGTGGCAGTGCTTGCCACACTTTCAAAATAGTCATCATTTGTGTATTGGTCATTAATTCGCTGTTGCCTTCTATCAAAGCTTCCCTCTGCCCTAGGTTTTCCCTACCTCTCAGTTTGTTTAGATTTCAGGCTTTGGGTTTCAGAAAGGCCTGAAGTGTGTTTTTAGTGCTGTGTCTCTCTGTTGGGATTTGCTCTGTATCCATTAGCTGAAGCTGCTGCTGAAGGTTTGGGCACTTTGCTGCTGCATCTGTGTCCCTTTGCAGGCAGTGTGTGTGCTCAAGGTGGCAACAGAGCTGCTTTTTCTCTCTTAGTGTGCATCAGGAAAATGTCTCCTGTTTTTAGCTGTCAGCAGTGGGTTTAACAGTAATTCAATTTAGAAGAGACATGTCCAGCAGCATTTCCTGCTCTCCAGGCCAGTTTTGAACACCTTTCTGAAAGAGGCAGGTGCTGCCTGTCCTTGTCAGCCCAGCAGTCTGTGGCTGAACTGCTGCTTCAGGACACAGCTCATCTAGTGCAGATGCAGTTTCTTTGGGATTGTTGAAGCAGTGGTGTTTGTCAGTCAGCAGATCTGTAGGATCTCTTGCAGGGGGAAGTATTTCTTAACTTTTTTGTGTTTTCTGTTACACAGTTTCCCATCTCACTGAAGCACCGTGCTAGCATAACTATAGGGTTGCACACTCACCTCCTCTGTGTTCATGGCCAAGCAGGGGAATCAAAGGACTTGGGGAGCAAGGAGGGAGAAGCTCAGGATCTCACAGTAGCCCTCAGTGGCTCAGATGTGACACCTGCCACCTTTTGAGTTTGAGTTCAGGGATTGGATTAGGGTGTCAGCTTCCTGTGTAATGAAATGCTTTTGTGTGTGCCTAGGGAGGAAGTGTAGTAGGATGGAGACACCCCTTCAAAGAGCTGAGTTAATGAGTGAAGTTAATTAGTGGCTTGATCTTATTTAATAGCTTGTTGCTTCCTGAAGTCCAGGTTGCCATGTTTTCTTCTCCCTTGCCTTGTCCCTGTTCTTGGTACTGCAGGCCAGCAGCTTACCCTGTGCCCTCTGGTGCTCTGATCATCCAGAAAAGCAACTCAGAGATGCAGAGAGACAGGAAACTACCCCAGAATGTTCTGTGGGTCCTTTAAAGGGGGAGTGAAGAAGGTTTCTGCCAGACCCAGTGATAGGTTGAACTGATTGGCTGTGGATTAGGCTGGAGCAAAGGAGGAGACAGGGTCATGCATGTGGGGGTAGAGGATGGGAAACTGGACTTTTCCTTTTGGTGTCAGGCTGTTAAATCAACATTCCTGATGAATACAGCCCAAAGGTGGTGATTCACAACAAGTTCATTTCTTGCTCTGAATCACTCCAGAGAAGCTGATCCCTCTCTGCTCACAGTGTGGCCTGAGGAGACTAATTTTAGGCTTTGCAGTCTAATTGATTTATGTTTATCTGTCCCCTCCTCCAAGTAACCTGAAATGGTCTGTATTTCCCCAAGTGTAAGAGTCATTTCCTGGGAAAAATCAGAATTAATTATTTGGTTCAGCTATGTTCTCTCAGCTTTATTCGAGTTATGTATAGATGTCAATTGTTTGTATTTTAAGTTTATCATTCTTTTAATTTGAATAAATATATGTTTTTCCTTTTCAGTGATATTGATTTAGTTGTGTTTGGAAAATGGGAGACATTACCTCTTTGGACCCTGGAAGAAGCTCTTAGAAAGCACAATGTAGCAGATGAAAACTCAGTAAAGGTTTTAGATAAAGCAACTGTAAGTTTGGGGGAAGAGGGTATTCCCTTGTTTTAAGCTGAATTTTTAATCAAAGAAAGATGTTGGTTAAAAGAATGAATTTTTATAAGCAGTAACTTATTTTGTATATTAAATTTGAAATAGAAGATAAAGAACTTTTTTATTTAGTATGATTTTTACTACTAACAAAATAATTGATACTACAATAACAAAAGCATTTTTTCTGTTGTGGAAATTGTCTGATATTTGATATGCACAACATGTTGCTTTTAAGAGAGATTGGACTAGTCAGTGTTGTTCATTGATGTTTTTAAACCAGGGCATTTCTGGACTGAGTTTTTACATAAGTAATTTTTCTTGCAAGTAGGCAGGTATAATCAGTTTTCACGTAGAAGTACTAAGTACAGCATTGTCTAAATAGGTAGTGGTATGTCTTGCAAAAAATAGATAAATTCTATTATGATTTCCTATCTTTTGCTCATTGTAAGAGTATTGGGATATCTAAGTCATAGCTGTTATTAGTAGAGAGAGGAAATTTGATGGTCACTCAGGTGGAGACACATTAGAGTACTCTCCATATCTTGTACTTCTTAATTGAAGTTCATTTTGGTGAGGAAGTGATGACCCCAGTGACATGAGTTGTGTCATTTCTGATGTCTCCAGGACCATTTCTCTGTTTCTCCAGTGTTTGTCTCCCTCTGGTGTTTATGGTCTCCACCAGAGCTGAGCTGCTGCAACAGCAACTCACCCAAACCAGTCCAAAATAAATCACCTGGAAGGTGAAGCATTAAGTTCTATTCAGCAGGACAGTAAATTGAAAATAGTGTTTATGAGTTAGAAAAGTCAAGTTTATGTAAACACATTGGCAAGGCAATGAGTTCATTAATAGGAGTCCTGATTTCACTGCCTACCTCCTCTATAAATTAATAAAAAACTTCAGGTTTGCTGGTGCATTTAAGTCATAAATGAAACCAAGTGTGTCTTGGAAATCTGTATTGACTTATTATATCCTTCTTTTGCAGGTACCTATTATTAAACTGACAGATTCCTTCACTGAAGTAAAAGTTGATATAAGCTTTAATGTACAGAATGGGGTTAAAGCAGCCCAGCTCATCAAAGATTTTATCAAGGTTAGGCAACACTCTCATGGAACTACACACTGAGTATTTGATAACTTAATTTTGTTTTCTGTTTTACTTTGATTGCATCCTTACTAGAGATACACTTTTACTCTGTTGTTTTTTGTTGTCTGATAATGCTGAGGGATAGTCTTAAGTTGTAGATATATTGCCTTAAAAAGCATGAAGATACTAAAATAGAAGAATAAAATGTGGAGTAGTTTTAATGGTACAATGATTAAGAAAAATGCACTATTGCCTGTTTTAAGTGTTCTGTTCCTTTAACTGCAGTTCATTGAGCTCTGCACTTCAGAATTTCAAGATGTGAGATAGTCTTCTCATGAAAGCCTGAAGGTGTTTTTGTGTGTGAAAGCATAGAAAATCAAGTTGGCTGTGTTACTTGTGACCTTCTGGCCTTGGGTCAGGGGGTGAGAGGGGTCTGTGCCCCTGGGGATGGAGCAGGAGCTGTTTGTGGCAGCAGGGACAAGGCTGCAGCCCTGTGGTACCCCAGCCCAAAGAGCAGAGCAGCTCTGGTGCCAGCAGCTGGGGCAGAGAAGTGGCCAGGGAGGATGTGCAGGCTGTGGGCAGGGTCAGCAGCAGTGTGGGGCAGCAGGGACCAGGCTGACAGTGCAGGGCAGCAGCTGTGCAGCAGAGTGGAGGCATTCCCAGCAAGGCTCCCACATGGTGCTTTCCCACAGGGCTGTTCTCCCTGCAGGCTGAGCCAAGGCTGTGCAGTTGTGCAGCACCACAGCTGGCCCTGAGCACGGGCAGCTGAGGAGGAGGAGGTGGCACAGGCTGCTCTGGAGGGTCCTTTGTTTGACTTGGAGAAAACTTGGTGTGTTCTTGCCAAGTAACTTTGTTGGTGTTCTTGAGGCACTCTCTATGTAACACTTGCAGGGCCTTCTCTTGGGTCTTACTTTATCACATATAACTTCAGTACCTGAGATGTCATATTTGGCATTAGGCTTGGAAATGCCTCATTTCTCTTCATCCAGGTTGTTTAGGAAATCCGAGGAAGTTGGAGCCTTTATTAGCAGTTTTCCAAGAAAAATACCATCTCTAAATTTTGGTATATGCTGATATTCAACACTTCAGCTTGTGACTGGAAGTTTTTAGTTCAAAATCTTCAGTTACATAGTTAGGGATCTTCAGTTAAATAGGGCTCCCAGTACTCACCATAAGGCTTCCTGAAGAGAGGTTCTTGGCAAAATCCTTCTTTCCCTTTAATCTTTTTGCAGTCATGGACATAGTGATCCACATTTCATCTGTGACACTAAGGAACTTCTTGGCTCTGTGTTGATAAAAGCAGGGATCTTATTAATCCTCTTTTGCCCCTCCCCTGTGACGGGTGTACAGAGTGCAGACGTAGCCCAGCCTCCACTGCTGTCCCAAAGCAGCCTCTTAGGGGAATCCATGCACATAAACCCTTTAAAGGACCAGTTACCCAAAGGTATTTTGCTTTATAAAGGACCAGTTACCCAAAGGTATTTTGCTTTATTGAAGATGTTACCTGGGTGTAATAATTTTGAAGGGCTTTCTTTAACTCTGGGCATCTGAAGAACTTGCAGGACAGAAATCTCAGGGCACTTTGAGCTACCTCTCAATTGTAGCAAGAAGGTTTTGTTACAGATGTCAGTGTCTCCACAGTTGTTCCTTTGCCATATTTCTCACTTGTATGAGAAAAGTAAGTGTGTGTATATATATATATATATATACATTCAACACAAATACTTCTGATTTTACAATGTAATAACTTTTTTCTCTTGTTAATATCTGCCACCAGAGTCAAACAGGTAAAATACCTGTGTTGATTGTAGGCAGGGCATTTGCTCTTCTCCACAGTAACTAAAAATGATAGGTTAGATTAATGATTAGATTAATGATAGTTACCTTAAAGGCAAAATATAATAAAACATGGTTTCAGTATGCTCTCCATTGTATGCATGCACCACAGTATTGTAACAGCTTTGTTTTTCTCTTTCAGAAATATCCTGTGTTACCATTTCTAGTTTTAGTATTGAAACAGTTCCTGTTGCAGAGGGACCTTAATGAAGTATTTACAGGTGGAATTGGTTCTTATAGTCTCTTTTTAATGGCTGTCAGTTTCCTTCAGGTAAGTTCAATGGAATCTGTCAATGCCATTGTGCCTAAGGACATCACCTTAAGAAGGAATTTGATCAACCCTCCAGTTTAATAATTTAAGTTATCATTTTTTGGGATTGCACCCCCTTTTCATTTAAAATTAGGTATGTCCCATCTGTTTTCTGTTCCTTCTCTGATGCTGATACTTTTGGTACAAAAGGTGTTTAGAACATCTGTTGGTGTACCAATGCCAGGCACTGATATATATGATTTTGATACACATGATGTGACATGTGTCATTCATGGTAAAACAACTTGAATATTGTATAACTTGCTTGGAACAAGTTCCATAAGGTTGGTGTTAGCTGAGCTGTCCTTTGTGACAGTCCTGATTGGTCTCCAGGTCACACACCCTGTATGTGCTTTCACAAATGCAGTGTAATCTTGGTTCTCTGGGTTACTAAGCAGATATCAAACAAACATCTTTTGCAACTTTCTCTTAAATCTAATAGAACAAAATGCGTGAGCTAATCTATATTGTTGTGCCTGGGAGAGGGAAATACTGAACAAATATGAAGTAGCTGATTTCTGGCTGTATCAGCCCTGTTCTTTTTCCTGAACTACATGTTATACATAACTGTGTTTGCAAGTGTATGTCCATACTTTTCCAGACTGTAATTGCTCTAAAATCTGAGCCTGGAACTGGAGCTTGGTGTTTGCTGAGTGCCTTTGCAGTTGCCTGCTGAGCACAAAACAAATAAGGGCAACATGCATATAGTTTAAAACCATAATCTCTCCTAATCCATTTTCTTATGTTGAGTAGCAGCACTTCTATTTGCTCATTAAAAAATATTTTTAAAAAAGTTAAATTTCATATCTGTTACAACTCTGAGCTGGTTTTGTCCACTCAGGCTGCCTCTCAGGCTGTTTCCTTAACAGTAGAGGGGATCCTGTGTTTAGCTGTGCACATGAGAAGTCTGTATTTGTATTGCAGACCCAGGTTTGTGAGGTACAAATATCTGCTTTTGCACAAGAACCCTGCCATTAGTGCTGGAAGTTCACTTATTGGACTAAAAGTTCAAATGCACAAAGATTAGTGTTTGACAGCCTTTTTTTGAAGAGGTAATTATGTTATAAAAGTTGTCATAGCATCTTATTTTAGAGATGCAAAACTGCTTAATCAAGGGAAAATACTTTATTTAGACATATCTGTTTTATTTTTTATTTCTGTATTTAGACATGTTTTCTGTGAAAAAGAGAAAAACTTAAAGTCATCAATGAATGATTTTTTTTTTCTCTCTTCTTAATAGCTGCATCCCAGGGAAGATGCCTGTATGCCCAATGCCAACTATGGTGTTCTTTTAATAGAGTTTTTTGAATTATATGGACGTCACTTCAATTATCTGAAGACTGGAATCCGAATAAAGGATGGTGGCTCTTATGTTGCCAAGGATGAAGTGCAGAAAAGCATGTTGGATGGCTACAGACCATCAATGCTCTACATTGAGGATCCATTACAGCCAGGTATCCTCAGAAACCAAAATGGAGTAGCACTACTATTAAATGTTTAATAGATGCACTGCAGGATTTTTTTCTCTTCATATATTTTACTTGTACCCAGAGAATTGCTAGTCTGGACTTCTTTACATTTAAATCCCTGTAGATATTTTAAGTTGTTTATGCTAAATAAATAAATAAATAAATAAATAATAGTAAAATATATATAATATTTCTGCTTTATGCTAATCCTCTTCTACGAGAGGTGGCTACAGTTAGTTGGGACTTAAGAGCAATTTTAAAAACAGATTACTGTCTTGTGCCTGAAAGGTGATCACCATAGTTTCAATCTTACTCATTTATTTATATTCTTATTTTAAGGTAATGATGTTGGGAGGAGTTCCTATGGTGCCATGCAAGTGAAGCAGGCTTTTGATTATGCTTATGTTGTTCTGAGCCATGCTGTTTCCCCAATAGCTAAATATTATCCTAACAACGAAACAGAAAGGTAAAGTCTCCAAGTCTAAATCTCAAACATTCATTGCTTACATTTTTCTGTCTCTAAAAATTAATTGTGGTGATGGTTTTGGTTTTTTTTTTTTTCCTGGTTTGCAGTATATTAGGGAGAATAATTAGAGTAACACAAGAAGTGGCCACATACAGAGACTGGATATCCAAGCAGTGGGGAATACAAAGCAGAACAGAATCTTCATGTAATGGTGAGTTCTGACTCAGCAGGGATGAGGGGGAAACTTCCTGCACATTTTGCTTGTATAGATTTTATTGTTACTTTTGCCTCACATAAGTCTATGTGTGCATCTTACTAGTAGTTTCTTCTTTATTTTCCAGTATTCATGTCTTTTCATCCAGAAAAGTCAGATTTGTACAAGAGTAAAATGTCCCCATCTTTGTTGTATTACAATAGATTTGGTTAGTAGAGAGATCTGTAAAGAGTGCTGCCTTCCAAAAAGAGACTTTGGAAAAACTTCCAATTGAAATTACCACCTTGTCAGTGTCACACTTCCTTTGTCCTTTAAATATGGACAAGGTTTTAACAAGTATTGCTGGGCATGCTAGTTTAAATCTGAATCCTTAAATACTGCATTTTTAATAGCAATTTTAAAGTCTAACACCAAATGTGTGAGGAAGAAATACTTAAGCCAGGATTCACTATGTAAGTGGAATAAGTCTTTTAAACAGACAAGTCTTGAAATGTCAATCATGATCTTGTTTTTAACAAATGGAAACACAAAATTGAGCCAGAGAACTTGGTGACAATGCCCTTTGGAATCACCTTTAATCCATTGCCCATCTTCTGACTTCAGCAGCCAGTTGCCACCCTCTCTTGGTGCAGGTGTATCTGCTGTCTGGAAATTTTTTAACTAGAATTAATTTTCATACTCTCCAGTTAATTTTAGAATGTTTCCTGTCAGAAGTGTTCTCTTGTTAGCAATTAATCAGAGAAGATGTTTCAAGGACCCGTTCTTTTGGCTAGGCTGGGATTTTTTTTACTTGTTTTTAGAAGTTGTGAGAGTGATTTGTCAGCTGGATGTGCTCTGTGCCATTGGAGCTGTCACCCTGCAGGCCCTGAGCTCCCATCACCTCCCTTTTAGCTGCCTTTGTGCACAGACATCATGTAAATCTCTACCTCCTAAGTGTCTTATTTCAGATAAAACAGCAATCAAAAAAGAAAAATAACCCTGTATTAATAACCCTGTGACAGTAAAAGTGGTTGTCTTGTTGATTTAGTTCATATCTAAGTTCCAACTTTTGTATTTTTAAGGCAGAGCTTAGTGATATATGAGAGTTCTGTATCTTGAATTTTCACTGTAGGAAATCCTACAAAGTAATGGGGCTTATTTGGAGTTCATCTGATCCTAGAAGCTCCAGCAGAAGAAAAATTGGAGTTGCTGAGTACTGGGCATACAGAATTTAAATCTCTGTATTTGAGTGCTGTTAAGTGTGGCATGAAACAATTTACAGCAGCACATCTGAACTTCGTTGCTGCCTTCTTCCACATCTTCTGTCCCTAATTTCCATCTCAAACCATGGGCAGTGCTCAGTGCATTAATGTCCATGTGTTACTGTGGATGTAACATGTATTTTGTATTTTAGGGGCTATATTAAATAACCTCAAGGCAACATGTTTTTGCATTTAAATGTGTGGTGATGCTTCTGTTTTGTTTTTACTAGGTAATGGAGTGACCTTGATAGTAGATACTCAGCAGCTGGACAAATGCAACAATAATCTTGCTGAAGAGAATGAAGCACTGGGAAAGCCTAGAAATAAAACTTCAGAAACACTTAGTAAACATTCTTCAAATTCTTCATCAGGTCCTTTATCGTCATCATCATCTACATTGTCCAGCTCTAGTGATGTAGTAAGTACTGGAAGTATTCTGACTCTGCTTTTTAAATTTTCTTTGGGTTTTTTCCCTTCTGATTTATATTGTCACAAAATACATTTTGGGAGCTCACAATCCTAGTCAATTAATTCATCCAGAATCCTAACTTGCATAAGATGTTAATTCTTATGCAATTTCTACACATACAAGTTGCAGTGCGTTTTTGACACAATACATGTAGAAAGTGAATATATAGACACAAAGTTTCACAGCCCTCTTTTCTCTGGGAAAACTGTATTTCAAAAGTAAAACAGACTGCCAATCCTAAGCCACATGCTTTAAAAAACAAACAGGCCAAAAGCTTTGAAAAAGATCTTTGTTTGGGAATTTTACTTAAAAAATAAAAGTCAAATCTCAAAACCAGAATCACACATCAATACATCTTTAAATTTGTTTTACTTGATAAGAATTCTGGATTGAAAGAATTTTAATATCTAGTAAAGTAAACAAGTTTTCAGTTTTGTCCACTGTTAACTTTATTTTTAAAAGAAAATTCACTTTTAGAAATACTCACTCTTAAGAAAAGCTCACTAATCCTTTACATTTTCCTGAAGGATTCTGATGGAACACCTTGCAAAACCTCTAAACAGTTGAGTTGTCGTCAGTCTACCACAAACAGAGTGGGGTCACAAGAAGTGTCACTGGAATCCTCCCAGTCAAGTGGGAAAACACAAAATAGCCAAACAGCCAATACATCCAGCAACACGAACAAATCTCAGGTTTGTGAAATGTTTGAAAACAACAACTGTGTAGATTATTTGAATATTACACATATCCTCCATGGAAGGGTAATTTGTTCTGGAAAGGGAACACTGCATTTTTCACCTCCCTTTTCCCCCATTAAAAATCTCCCAGCGCTGATTGTATCTAATGCCACCTGGTTCTCTGTTAAGCTTGCACAGATGAATTTGCAACCGTGGCTTTCCCAGCTTTAAAAGAGATGAAGTTGGTCTGACTTGTACACCAAATTTGCCAGAGGTGTTCAGCTGTGTTGCACCCATTTCCTCCTTTGCAAAAAGCACACCAGCCAAGTTTTGATTGCAAAATATGAGAGATGAGGTGTGCCTACACTCAGTGAAAGCAGTTAGCAAAAATGTGTGTTTAAAACTCTGACTGACTGCTCTTTTAGCTGTTGGTACTTGTTGCTCTGTCTTCCACAAAGGGAGGTGAAGATTCTTTGTGATAGATGACATTCACCCTTATTTTCCCCTATGGCCAAACATCCTTATGTGACAACTATCAGAACTTACACATTTAGAAGATTTTCCAACTGAGGAATGCTTCAGTATTCTGAAAATATTCTGTGCCTCTATATACAGTATACCCTGGATATAAGCAGTTTAAATTCTTGCACTTTTTCAGAAATTGGGTCTTTGTGTTTGTGTGGTGGTCGATTCCTGGTCACATCTCACAGCAGACACCAGGGTGAGGCATTTTCATGGGGGGGCACTGGCTCTGTGCCAGGCTCAAACCATGACAATTTGAAACATAGTCCACAACCTTCTGGAATACTTTCCTTGAAAATAATTCTGAAGACATGCCTCTTATCTGCTGATGATTTGTCTTCTAACAAGACAATTCACACACCTGACCTTGGCTGTGCTATGGGTGTGTGTTTGTATTATTGGGCAGAACTAATTCCAGGCTGGAACGTGCATGCCCATGATCTCATCTCTGAAAAGATGGGGTATGTCAGATCATGGGCATGCACAGATTTGAGCAATCTTCCTGTGCTGTCTTAGATTACGGACATTTCTGTAAATACCTTTATACTTTCCAAAATTCCAAGTGCTCTGCCCCTCTTGTGAGGGGCTAGAGATGAACATTTGTTTGCAACCAGCTGGGTGGGAGATTGGCCCTGCAGTGCTGCTGTCCCAGGTTCCCTCTGCCATGGCAGGTTTTCCAGGCTGTTCTCAGGGGTCAGCATGCTGGCTGTGCAGCAGCAGGGCTGTGGGACTGCCATGCCTTATTCCCACTGCAGGGATTGCTGACCACGTTCTCTTTCCTCCACAGCACGGATCCGCACGGTTATTCCGCTCCTCTAACAAAGGCTTCCAAGGTCCAACAAACTCCAGCCATGGTACCTCAGTCACAAACAAACAGCACCAAGGCAGCAAATCACACCATCAGTTTTTCCACGGCAAAAAGAGGAAACACAAGAGGGATGCAGCTCTGTCAGACCTTTGTAGATAGTTGACTACTTTAAGACTGTTCTTCTGTGTGCAATGATCTCATGCTACAGGATAGTTTGATAGTGACTCCTTGGATCTCTTCTGGAGCTTCAGACTGTTCAGACATAGATTAGCAACTGCATTTTTTTTTCCCAGCTCGCCACGGAACGGAACATGAAGATTGATCACTGCAAAAAAACAAAAAAAAAAAAGAAAAAAAAAGAAAAAAATGGAAAAAAAAGGAAAAAATTAATTTTTTAAAATGAGGAAAAAGGCTGCTCATTTGATAAGTCATATGCTACAACAGGGTCATTTAGGATATAAAAGCTTGAATGTAAAATAAATGTATTTCCCATCAGCTCATGCTGACCTGTAGAGATAGTACTCAGTGTGTCTAGGGGGTGGTAACAAACAAATAAAACACAAAAAATAGGAAAAAAAAGGCAAAAAATTGTATTTTGAGGGAAACCCAGCCTTTAAAGGTGAAAGTAATTTGTGCATGATTTTTTAATTATTTTTGCATATACTTACCATTTTATTGTGTATATATAGATGACCATATAGGAAAACTGACATTTGTAATAGTGGATTTGTTAATACTTTTTACATAACATTACTGTTTAAATTGTAAACATAAATTTTTTCTCAGGATTAGTTTGGAAAATAATCTGAATTGTCATCTTAACATCCATATAAAGAGACATTACTAGTTGTATTGCTCAGATTTTCTTTTCTTGGCATTTGGAAGATCTCATAGAACTTTTGATCTGCAAAAGCTGTTCCTCTGAAAGAAAGGTTTATGGTGACAAATGAAGATTTTCATTTGTATAAAGTGTACATGTACTTTGTGTAGACACTGAGCTTGTCATCTCTGAGAAGTAACCTTCACCTTGTTTTCTAGAGTGCCATCATTTCATCATTTCAGGCAATGGGGTTTTATAGTTGCATCCTTCTCTTCCTCCCCTTAGTGGTCTCTCCTCGACCCTTCCTTCTTTTTTTTTAAGGAAAAACAAAGGGCCACTTGGGGTTTGGGGTTTTCTGTTTTGTTTTGGGTTTTTTTTGTTTTGTTTTGGTTTGGTTTTTTTGGGGTTTTTTTGTTTTGTTTTGTTTTTTGTTTGTTTGATTGATGGTGATGATTGTTTTCTTTTTTTGTTTTATTTTTTTTGGGTTTTTTTTTTTTGGTTTAAAAAAAACAAAACAACAAAAGTCGATTTGTTACAGACATTTGCATTCCTGGGCTGCTTTAATCCCATGCCTCCTTGTTTGTGCCTTTCCTCCCCCCTCCAGGTCTGGGTTTTTTTGTCTTTTATATTTTTGCTAACTCCTGTAGGAGATGATAACTGTTGAAGCTTTAAGTAAATTTTACAATTCAAGTATTTTTTTTTCACTCCCCTCTTAGGCATTTTTATATATACACTTAATTATTAAAAAAGAAACAATTTCAAATAATGAAATATACTTTATATTGCCTTAAATACCCAAACCTTTCATATCCCCTAATATTTCTTCATTGACCTAGTTCTCATTTCATTGAAACTCCACAAGTGTGAGGTTCAGTCACATCACAAGTCTAGGTTGCAGTACCTTTGATGCCATGAATGCGAATGAAATGGAAAATTGCACTCACAGGCATAGTTTGGAACAGGAGCGGGGACACTTCAGTGCTAGAGAGTTAAATGGCATTTACTTTCACATATTTCTGCAGAGAGGAGAGTCTGTACTTGGCACACCTGGCTGTATTAAATGCAGCAGTTCTGAGATGATGCTTTTATAAAAAGTACTGTTAGCTTTGAGAAACTTTTTATATACATTTACAGAATACTACAGACCAACCTGACCTTTATAGGCACTAATGAGTGCAATGATTTTTAAAGTAAAATGAGACCAGAACCAATGTTATCACTTAAATTAATAAACATTTTCAATGTGTTAAAGTGTTTTACTTCAAAAAGGAAAATATATATATGTATTCTAAAAATACAGCAAGTCATAACATTTACTCCAACACTAAGCTTACGTGATGTTAATTTGACAATTTTTTTTAATTTTTAGAGTCATATTTTAATTTGATCAGATAATTTTATCAAGATGTTCAGCTTTTCTTCATAGAAACTAGTGAAAGTTGTACCACATTATGCATAGTCACTATTTATTTTGTTTTAGATTATTGTGAATGTGTAGACTTATGTTCACCGCTTAGGGAACAATTATTTATAAATTATATTAATCCAGTATTGTTAGCTGCTATTAGCAAAACTGTTCCAAAACTTAATACTTGCAAAGATCTGTATCGCATTTACCACACTGAAGTGTTTTTAAAAGAATCACCCTCATTGTTGAAAGCAAATGTACTCCTAGGGTGCAGATATTAGTGTTCCAATAAGCATGTGATAATTTTAAGGTGGTGGTAGCGGGAAGATAATCTTGATTCCATTGGGAATCTTAGGTTTGCCTCAATTTATGGTTTTCATAAATTTAATGGAAAAAAGCTTTTCCTGGACTGCTCAAGTTTCTTTTTGGTAAACAGTATCTTTCTAAAAGAAAAAGAAAAAAAAAGCAAAAAAAAAGCAAAAAAAAAAAAAAGCATGAAGGAAAAATTGAGGTATTTTACATTGCCTCAAATGACCAGCATTGTATTCATAAAATACTGTATATCTTGCAAAACTTTATTTAAACGGAACAGTTGAACTGTTCGTTTTTCAATCTGAAGTAAAATACTTTCAAGACCTTTTAGTTTGCCTGCTCATTTGTCTTGTACATTTCATCTCTGTATTTGACTCAAGTCTAATTCCTTTTTGAGTTTCAATACTTTTGTGAAGATTTTGTGAATATATGAAAAAAAAAATAAATGTTTAATCTAACCACTGCAGTTTATCACCATTCTTGACACCCTGTCTTCCCCTTCAGAGCACTGTGGAAAGAGTTTCTCAAGTAACATTTTTTGTAGGATCAGGGCCCTTCCCCAGCTGAGTTCTGGGCCCTCTGCCTGGAGTTTGGAAGCTGATTTTGTTCAGGTGGCCCTGGTCTGCTGGTCTTCCTTTCAGGAAAGCTGGAGCAGGGTCTGTAAGCTTGGGAATAAATGGAAGATAATACATGTGTAATGATTTCTTAATGTATGATCTTTGTCGAATTTTCCTCCTCAAATACACAGGAAGCTTATGGAAGGATCCATTTTCCTTCTGAAATCGGCTGTGGGGTGGTGTTGCAGCTGCAGGGCAGCGGCTGCTCAAAGCTGCCATGCTGAGGGGGTTCTGTAGAACTATTCAAGAGTTAATTGGATTTACTGGCAGCTAAAATCCATGTTCAGCAGTTCCTGAAGCACAGCTGATGCTACTGGAGTGTGTTCTTGTCCTTCCCTGGGAGACGTGCACATACTGCAGGTTCTGGTACTTTTCCTTCTGGTACTCCACTGCACACCATTGGAAGTACATTAATAATCTGGAATGTTTGTATATTGTCCTGTTTGGCATTAAATTGATTTGCTGAGACTCTTTTAATTAAAAAGAAAATTGATCAAATTGTGTTTATGGTTAAAAATGTATGTATTTTTTAATTGACAGTTTTCCCCCTTGTGGCAGAAAAGAAGCTGAAATGTAAGTAAATCTTTCTGTTTGTGAGACATGATTTCTGTTTTGTCAGAATTTACAGCTCAGGTTTTGAAATACTAAATCCAAACTTGTTTTCCTAGAACTGAATCTTTCGAAAATAATTGTAGTCCAGTGGCTGGTGACAACTTTTTTAATGTCCTTTCAAAATGGACCTTTTCCATTTTACGTTTGGAGTCATCGTGGGTATATCTTCAATATAAAGTGAGCAGCTGGATAGAGAATAGTCTTACCTGGAAAATGTATTGTAAATAAATGCAGCCAGCCATTTGCCATCTTGATGGATGCTAAAACTCATGATAGATCTTAGAACGTTTGACTACAACTTTACTTCGTAAAGAGTAAAAGCCATAGGAGATAAAATGTGCCTTTGTTGGGAATCTTGGCCATGCTCTTGGCAATAGCCAGCTCAGAGGTGGCCTGTTCCATTTGCTCCTTCCTGCAGGATATGGATGAAACAAGGCTAGAAAAAGAATTTTAATTTTATTTTGCTGCACGTTAATTGCTGAAAGCTGATGGGATCCTGAAAATCATTTAAATACACCTATTAGAAGGGAAAGATGAAAAATCTTGGGTGTCCTGTGCGTAAAAGCCACTTGGAGGAATGCCATCTTTCTGCTTCCAAGGTGCATGGAAGTGAGGTGCTGTGGGGTTCTGGTGGGTCCCTTGGCTCAGGCACTGCCTTGGGATAACAAATGACCTCAGCAGTGAATCTCTTGCAGGTGTCTCTGCTCTGTAGCAGGTCTAAATAGCTCTTGGCATTTGAAACTTGCTGCATTGGGTTTCCTAATCCTTTTTCAACTCTGAGCCCACCCTTTGTTTTTTGGTGCTAAATGTGACATCTTTCAAATGCTGTCCAACAGGTTCTAGGGAAGCACAAAGGGGATGCAGATGATTAGTGCTTTAAGAAGGGTATTTCCTGCTACTATAGCAGCTCTTTAAAGGAAAATAGACCAAAAACCCTTTGATTGAGCAGGCTGAGGTAGGAATACAACCCCTTAGCCCTCACATATCCATATTTGAATTATTCCAGGTAAATTATTTGACAATCTAATGTTGGGATGTGTGGCTGATTGTTTTAGTGTTTCTGTATAATGAAGTCCTACTTTCCCATAGTGCAAACCTCTGCCAGAAAAAAACACTTGACTGTGTGCAAGAGCTGGCTTGTAAAGAATGCATTTGTGTGGTGGTAGAGAAATCTGAGGAACCGTGAGTGCAGATTTGGTGAGTGCTTTGCTTGTTTAAAATAAATAAAATGCTCTTGTGCGGGTATATGAAAAGACCTTTGCTGCTGTATGAAGCAATGTTTGACTCTTGAGCTTAAAGATCATTAAGCAATCAAATGCTTCTGAATAGCTGCTAGTGAAACTAATCTGCTCTCTGGGCTGCATTTTCCCAGGTCTAAAGTTCATTTGTTGTGCTAGATTTGGTGACAGCGAGATCTGAAAATAATCCTGGTTCAAATTGCTCATTTATGCTGCCTGGCAAAAATATCTGTTCTGAACTTAAAGCTACCATCTTAAAAAAAGCCAAAATCCCCAAACAAATACATCTTCCTGGTCTGTACACAACATATTATTGCACCAGCAGTGTG